GTGACTCCTCAATTCCTCTTACCTTCCACACCTAAATCAATAACCAAGTCCTGGTAATTGATCTCTCAGATGTCTGGTTTTCACCTCTGACATTGCCATCACTCAGCTGACCAATTGATCCTCCTAAAGTAGAGGTCCAACCATGTCATTCTCTTTCCTATCCAATTCAATATATTCTAGTGGCTCCCTATTACTTTTGGGGTCAAATATAAAATCCTCAGTTTGGCTTTTAAAGCTTTTCATAACCTGGCCTCTTTCTACCTTTCCAATTTTCTTACACCTTACTCCCCCTTACTCTTTGATTGGGTGGTACTGGCTTCGTTCCTTCCCCATCTCTAACTCCTGGCTTCCCTGACTTTTTTCAGGTGCCACCTAAAATTTTAACTGACAAAGAAGCCTTTCCCAATCCCCTTTAATGCTAACATCTTCCCATTATCTCTCATTTATTCCATATCTTGTTTATATCTGGTTCTTTGTGTAATGTCTCCCCAAGTAGACTGTGAGCTCCATGAAAGGAAGGACTCCTTTTTTGCCTCTCTTTGTGCTCCAGCACTTAGTACATACTGGGTACTTAATAAATGCTGGTCCACTCGATAAGACTTAAACAATACATTAGGGAGTTCTCAGAGAGGTTCTTAGGTCAAGCACACCAGTTACTCCTCTGAATAGGAAGTCATATAGTGATGTTATTTGAAGCCTCCCTCCCAAACCCCAAATTTCCTCTTCTTCTCACCCCAGCCTCCATTTGTCTGTTATTCTATTTATTTTTTAGTTCCTAAATATTCCAGGGTTTAGAGTAATGAGCTCTCAGCTCGGAGAACAGTGGCTTTGGGGTCAGAAGACCCGAGTTCACATTCTCACTTTGCCACTAACTAGCTGCGTGACTTTGAACAAATCGCTCCCCATCCTGCACTCTGGAGTACTCAGCAACACGGAGGGGCTGGACAAGGTGATCTCCCAGGTTCCTTCTCATGCTGACATGCTGAGGCTAAGGTCTCAAAACTCCACACATGGTTATTGTTTGCCCTCTTGTGGCAGAAAGAGGACAGTGACCAATAGGCTGAATTATCAGCCTCCTCATACTCAAAACCAACATTCTTATGAGCATTTGACAGGCATTGACTAAGTGCCTACTGTGTGCCAGGCACTTGGTAAAGCATTGAGGATACAAGACTAAAAATTTTTAAAAGATAGTTTCTGTCTGTGAGGCCAGAGAGGGTAAATACAAAAATATGTAGAAAGTCAATGTAAAATAATTCCCAGGGGCAGGGGCACTAGCCCTAGCAGGGGAGGATCAGGACAGGCTTTCTGTTAGAGGAGGCACTGAGTTGAATTTTCAAGGCAGTTGGGCATCCTACGAGAGGGGAGGGAAGGAAGGAATGAACTGCAGACATACTGGAAAGCCTATACAAAGGCATAGAAGTGGAATGTTATGTACGCAAGGGCACCGGTGAAAGACAATAGTACACATACAGCTAGAATTGGTTTGTGAAGAGAGATTTCAAACTTAAATGGAGAAACCTAGATTTTGTCTTAGACACCAAAGGGAAACACTAGACCTTCTTCAGCAAGAAAATGACAAGGTCAGAGCTGGGATCTGGAATAAATTGGTTGGCTGATTAGTGGACGCATTGGAGAGAGACAAGACGATGCAAGGAGATCGTCAGGAGGCTATTGCCTCTATTACGCTACTGCCTAATAATAGGCTCTAATACGCCATTGCCTATTGTCCAGACCAAGAGGTTAAGAGGGCCTGAATTAGAGCAGTGGCTGTGAGAGTGAAGAGAGGGGTTTGAGACATCCTTCACAAAGCCATACTCCAATGCTTCTTCCAAGTGTGGAGATGACCCTGGGTTCTAGAAGATGATGCCAACAGGGCTTGAACTCTGCCATATTCTTCCAGAGTCAGAGTTAATAAACATTTATTAAGCCTCTACTATGTGTCAGGCACTGTGCAAAGCATTGAGGATACAAGGAAAGGCATAAGACCATCTCCTTCCTCAAGGAGCTCATAATCCAATGAGAGAGACAGCCCGTAAAAAGAAGCTGAAGAGTAGGGGTGGGGATTGGAGGGAGAAGTTACCCTGCAAGGGGGCAAGGATGAGGAAGTCATGCAGAGGGGGTGGGAGATGATCTGAGGAGGTGTGAGTCTCAGAGTTGATGCCATCTTGCAGAACAATGAGTTTCTGGAGAAGGTGAAGTCCAAGAAAGCAGCCGGATGGGATAATTCTTTGGGTGCTCTTAAATGCTGAGAATCAGAGAGGAACTCCTGGAGTCCACCCCTACCCTCTCTAACCAGAGGAATGGAGGCAGGGGTGCTGAGTAGGTGTGATATCATGATGAAAAAGCTTTAGGTATGATCCCAGAAGCAGATCAAGTGTGTTTTCTGCGGGCTGAAAAATATAAGTGAGAGAGGTACTTCACCAGAAAGTAGGCCACCCGGTGATGAAGTTGTGGACCATAGCCCACTGAAACATATAAGATGCTACTCAGTCCTGGGTATCCTGCTTCTGATCCTGCAGTGATGGTGGGAAAGGAAGCAGAGAATGCTGAAAATCGTACAATTTTTAGACTATTAAAAAACTCTAACTATTGATATTCTAAATGGGAGATCCTTTTTCAGTGATCAATGAGTGGACATATTCCTGAAGAAGCTGAATCATATTAATCTTCACATTCTTGCTGTAAATAAAACTGGAAGGAAGAAGGAAGTTGTAGCTAAATGGAAGGAAAATTCATAGGTATTCCTTGGAGAAACAAAGGAGCTAGAGGATTAGTATTTATCCTATAACCAAAGGCAACAAAGAGTGCCAGGTGGCATGGTGGAGTGAGGAAGATTTCATCTTTGTTGAGTTCAAATCCAGTCCAAGACACTCCCTAGCTGTATGACCCTGGGCAAGTCACGTAACCCTGTCTTCCTCAGTTTCCTCATCTGTAAAATGGCAGAGGAGAAGGAAATGGCAAACCACTCCAGTATCCTTCCCAAGAAAACCCCAAATGAAGAGCTGGACACAACTGAAACAACAGAGGCAACAAGAAACATACTATGGGATATTTGGTCATCTCATAGTGCAGTGGCAGTGATCAATATTTGCAAAAAGGATTATGTTGAAAATAACGGCAGCTTGTGGAGCACTGTTGCTTGTTGAGGTTAAAGTGGTAGAGAGATTTTACAAAGAACTTGGTAGGGCCTTCCCAATTAAATCAGCATACAGTCGGATTCTTCATGATTTCTGTGAAAAGACCGGAAGACAGTGGGAAGGAATACATGGGAAAGCATGACAAGGAATGAAAGAAGCCAAGGACTTGTAGATTTTATAGAAGCCTCACACTTCTATATCACAAACACTTTTTCTGGGAGAAGAATTGGTAGATACTGGACCTGGTAAGCACGAAATGACAAAGAATAACATTGGTTGTATTTTAAGAGGTAGACTTATTTTTGATGTGTCAGCTATCCTTGATAACTCAATTACTATGTGATTGGTAGTGTGTGTTCAGTCAGACCACCGATCCATCAGAGCTCGGATCAGAAATGGTAAAAACAAGAAGAAAGAATAACAATGAGAAAAAGGTGTGATATATAATTAAAAAAAAAACTTAACCCCCAACTACTTCAACAAGTTATTGAAAAAAAAAGAAATAACAGAAACCAACAATAAAAATTTCATTAAAAAGTTAAAATTAATGTAAATTGCCAGATCACAGAGACCGAAAAAGCTTAGGAAAAGCCTCGGTTAGCAAGCACTGAACTTATTTGCCAAAGAGAGAAGATGGCTTCCAAAGGCTGCACTGGCTTATGACATAAACTCCATGATATGAAATATAAATAGTAATATAAATATAATATCATGAAGAAGGATTATGAGAAATATTTTCTCATAAAGCAGAGAGAAACAGTAGAAGGTGAAGCTAGTTTAAAGAGAGTTCGTCATGCTATTTAGCTCCGCAGGCATTCCAAGGTCATTCAAAGATGAAGCCAAAGGACTACAAAGTAGAAAAATGAAGTAGATTTGCAAAAATCACCCAGTGTCCCCTTCTTCCAGAGTATGGCGGGGATTAGGGTGGGAGTTGGGAAGGAACTTCAGGTAACCTAAAAGGGGAGTTCTTACCCCTCAAGTTCCCAGACACCTTGTGATCTTTTGTTTCTCTTTCTGAGAACATTTCAGGTATTTGAGAATGAACTTTAGCAGTCTAAGAGATAGTAGCAGCAGCTGGGAAGTGGCAACTCACTTAAGCCCTGTCTGCCTTAGTTTTCTCATCTGTAAAATGGGAACCCTTCTAGGGTTGTTACAGGATCAAATGATGTAACACTTGTAAAGTGCTTAGCACCAGTATCTGGTGCATAGCAGGAGTTAAATAAATGCTTGTTTTCTTCCTTCCTCCCTTCCTTGCCTCCTTCCTCCCTCCTTCCCATCCTCCCTCCCTTCTTCTTTCCTTTTCTCCTCCCTCCCTCCCCCCCTCCCTTCCTCCCTTCCTTCCTTCCTCACTTCCTTCCTTCCTCCCTTCCTTCTTTCCTTCCTTCCTTCCTCCCTTCCTTCCTTCTTCCCCTCCTTCCTCCTTTCTTCTTTCCTCCCTCCCTTCTTTCTCATAAGGGTTGGTGAATTCACACTATGAACCTAGGAAGGGTAAAGGAGTGTGGAGAGTGACCACTCCTTTATTTTGAAATTTTACTTGGGATTACCCCTGTACCCACAAAGGAAGGATTATACCTTTCCCTCATCACCCTTACCAACTACCACTTAGCTCCCAAGGACCCAGGACTCAGGGTGGTCCTCTGAGTAGTGTAGTTCAGGTACGTTGTTTGAACTGAACAGAATGATGTGGGTTGGCTGAGAAACATAACAAATGGAGATAACTTTGTTTCTATGAGAAAATGAGGCCTTGAATTTCAAAGGACCATCTTACAAAGACATATTTGGAACACAACCTGTTGGAAAGTTAAAAATACCTTCAGTTGGGTTCAAATTAATTGGATTTTTCTGTATAAATACTCACAGGGGCTAACACGTCCCACGTGGGGAGGAATCAACACTACAACGAGTATGGCGTTCCCTCCTCACTACCTGCTGCCCTTGGATACCTCAGAACCCATGCTGCTGGCCAGGCAGTGGGAAGGCCCCCTGCCCCAGGCTGCCCAGAACCCTTCCCAGCTGCCTGGCTGGAGCCACCAACTCTATTTCTTTCAGTAAGATGGAGGCCTACCAGGACTTACCAGCTGCTCTGCCTCTACAACCTGAAGATCCCTGGCACTGTCATCCGAATCAAAGCACCTCTGGGCCTTGCCATCAGCCCTGTAGCTGACCTGTTATCTATTGTCTTCCCTGAAGAAAACATGAGCTTTCTGAGAGCAGATAACTGTCTTTCTTTTTCTATTTGTACCTCCAGCTTTTAGTGTAATGCTTGGCATATAGTAAGTGCCTAATAAATGTTGGACTTTTAAAAATTTTTTAAATTTAAAAATTAATTTAAAAATTAAAATTAAAATTTTAAATTTTAAAATTGGGTTTTAAAAATAATTTAAAAAAATTCATACATTCATAAATGTGCTCTTTCTTAATTCTGCTGTAGAGATAAAGCATTTATTAGAGGAAGAACTTATGCCTTGATCGCAGGTGTGTTCATATGTGAAAATACTGACCGGAGCTGGTCTCTGTTGGGAACACCAATGACTGTACAACTCGAGCATACCTGTGGAAACCTAATCATGCTGATCAGTTACGAATTTTAAGGCATTTTAAAGGAGAATTGGTTTTAAGAAATGAATGGGCAAACTCTTCCCCACCAAGATATTACAGAAACAAAGCAGGGTTAGAAGCCACCTAGTTCAAGCCCTGCCCCTGCCCCCCATTTTACAGAAGAGGAAACCAAGGATCAAAGAGTGGTGGAAGTGACTTGTCAGGTCATACAGTCATGGGGAGACATTTAAAACCCCTTTGCCAGCCCCTACTCATTTACCAGTTGTATGACTATTTACCTCTCTAGGCCTGTTTATTCATTTGGGGAAAAGGAATTTATAATCCTTGCATTACCTACCTCATTGGGATGTGAATAATGGTATGTAAGCCTGAAAGCACTTTGGAGACAGGAGGAAATCTATTGCTGGGACTCTGTCAGATTGAGGCGGCTAGGTGGCTCAGTGAATAGAGTGGTGGACTTGGCATCAGGAAGATGACTCCAGGGGCAGCTAGGTGGCGCGGCAGACAGAGCACCGGCTCTGAAGTCAGGAGGACCTGAGTTCAAATCCGCCCTCAGACCAAACACTTGACACTAGCTGTGTGACCCTGGGCAAAGTCACTTAACCCCAATTGCTTGAAAAAAAAAAAAGGAAGATGACTCCAACTCTGGCTTCTGAAACTTACTAGTTGGGAGAATCCTAGCTGTCACTTGACCTCTCTCTGCCTCAATCACCTCATCTGTTAACTGGAACTAGTAATAGCACCTACCTCCCAGGGTGGTTGTAAGTATAACATGACATATTTGTAAAGTACTTTGCAAACTTTAAAGCAGCAGATAAATGTTAGGTATTACTATTAAAAAAAAAATTCCCTCAAAGCCTTAGTTCTAAAACAGCCATTCTGCCCAGGAATACTGGACCAGTCTGTCTCCTGTACTGCTGAGCCTCCCTGGTTCTACTGCATTATGGGAAAGGCCTTGCCAGCCTCCCCTCTGGGTCTCAGGCTTGACATGAGCAGCAGCTCTTGGATTTTTCCCATAGAATGCCCATTATGGTTGATGAAAATGCTCAGTCCCAAAGCCTTGGGGAAGAGGAATAGCCCAGGTAAGTCAAGTCTTAATTAATGCCAGTGGGACAAAGCCAGGGTCCAAGCAGCTCCTGTAAGCAGCAAACGTCTCTAATGATGCTCTTAGGAAGCCAGAGCTGGGGATGGAGCCTGCCCCAGAGACGGAGACTGAGCTTCTCCACTCCTGCCAAGCTGTTTGAAGGAGTTATAAATCCACCAGGCACCAAAAACAGGCCAAAAAGAAAGTCTTAACTGCTCCCCAGAGCCTGGCCAGAGAATAAATAAAGGAGATCATTACAGAAGGAACCAAATCAGGAAAGGGGCAGTTGCCAGCGAGCTGTATTTACAGCTCAATCAGACAGACTTTAAACGAAGGAGAACCTGCCCAGTCATCACCTGTGCTTCTAGAAACCCAACCCGTCCCTGCCTATCGTGCATCCCTCCCTGCCTGACTGAGACTCATAATACCTGTCCTTCCAAGTCTGGGTGGAAGCCTTGGAGCTCAGGATGGCAATTAAGAGGAAGGAATGAAACAAGCAATTATGAAGGTGCTTGCTAAGTGCTTTACAAGCATTATGTTCTTTGATCTTTACAACAACTCTGGGAGGTGGGTGCTATTATTATTCCTGTTTTACCACTGAGGAACAAAGATAGACCGAGTCGGAGTGACTCGCCCAGGTAGTTTAAGTGTCTGAGGTCAAAGTTAGCTGAGGTCTTCCTAACTCCAGGCCCAGCGCTCTAACTACCGAGTCACCGAGCGGCTTCTAGGCAAGCACTGCATCTGTAGAAGGAAGCATTCCCTAACAAAGCAGCACAACAGAGAGCTGACCTTCCCCAGTAAGCTGTTGCTGCCAGTCCTTCGTTTTTGAAGAGGACTGATGATATGACTGGTGATGGCTTGACTTGCCCGGGAATTAGGAATTCCGCCCCTCAGCAAGTTCGGAAGGAGAGGCCAGGTGGGCTCTCCTTAGGGAAGTTGATGAGGGCTCTCTCGTTCAGGGAGATGTTGGAGTCCGTGGCCTCTGGAGTTCTTCCCACCTCTATGTGTCCCCTTTTGTCCTCAGGCAGGCTCAGAATGGGTTTCCTTCCATATCTGACCTTCTCTGTTCCCACATGGTCTTAGGTATCATCCTGATCTGGCCCAGAACAAAACTGTGAAGGAGGCCTAAGTTTGCCTTTGGGCCTTTTATACACATGCACATGTGCGTGCGCACACACAGACACACAGACACACACACACACACACACACAGAGCAATTGGAGTTAAGTGACTTGTCCAGGGTCACATAGCAGTAACTGTCTGAGGCAGCATTTCGGCTTAGGTCCTCCTGACTCCAGGGTCAGAGGTCTATCCACTGTGCCACCTACCTGCCCTACTTTATAGATTTTTAAAAAATTTTACTTGTCTGTTTATAAGTTGTTTTCCTTCAGTAGAATGTAAGTCCCTTGAGGGCAGTTTCATTATTATCTTTATATCTCCAGTGCCTAACATAGCTTCTAGCACATACGTATTTTGAGAATAAATTTCAGTCTCTCAGTAAGATGGTAGGAATATGTTTTGTCAATTCCATATAACTGCTAATATGGTAGGAATAAATTCTATTACCTCAAGTCAGTGTGGGAATTTAGCATAACTGCAGCCATTTTGTTTAACCTCTATGTTGCGGCTGAGTTGTTCTGAGTGTGTTGTATTTTTCTTTAAGCTGTTTTTCAACAGTAAGATAAACACCTTCGTGTCCTGATGTAATAAACAGAATGTGTGTGTTCTTTGTGTGGATGTGTGTGGATGTTTATGGTCTTTTTTTTTCTGTGTGTGCATGTTCTTAAAAACAACTAGTAAGGGGTGGTACAGTGGATAGAACACTGGCCCTGATGTCAGGAGGACATGAATTCAAATCCGGTCTCAGACCAAACACTTGACATGTACTAGCTGTGTGACCCTGGGCAAGTCGCTTAACCCCAATTGCCTAAAAATAATTTTTAAAAAATTAAAAAAACCCAACTAACAAACATAAGTAGATCCTCTGATAAGACAGATCACCAGTGAGAAAGTAATATAAGTAACTTGATCAGTAATTTTGAAATAGAAGTACTAATTAAATTTCGCTGAAAGTGTGAAAAATTTACCTGAGATTTGTCCTCAGCCTGTTCCTAAATTGAGATTTCCTACTTGCTTCCTACACTTGATTGGAATGAGTGTACACGGCTGGAGGGTAGTACTGATTGGGTAATGGGGATTTGGAGCCTGGCCAGAAGAGCACCCCAAAGCAAGACACAAGGCTTTTGGACGGGCAGAGAGGGAAGTTGATCTAGTCTGGTAGGAAATCAACTTAGGGGAACCTTTAAGCTGGCAAGCTGGTGGCAGTCTGTTTTTAGAAGATAACATTTACATGCTTTGACTAATAAAGTTTGATTGCATTGAGAAGGATAAGTTAATTAGTGTTTCTGCTGCACTACTTCTCTGTTGCACTAGTTAGTATATGCCAGGCAGCTGGGTGGTGCAATGGATAGAGTACTAGCTTTAGAGTCTGGAGGACCTGAATTCAAATTTGACTTCTGACACTTGCTAGCTGTATGATCTGGGCAAGTCACTGAAACCCGTTTGCCTCAGTTTCCTCATCTGTAGAATAAGCTGGAGAAGGAAATGGCAAAGCACTCCAGTATCTTTGTCAAGAAAAGCCCAAATGAAATCATGAAGAGTTGGACACAGCCAATTAACTAAACAACAACGAAAGTTAGTATATGTAATGATTAAAGCAGATAAGCAGGCACTACACATTACTTATATTAGATGTTTAATAAATAACTGAATTAAATTGCTAAGTTAAATTAAACTCATCAGCTAGTTGGCAAAGTGGATAGAGTGTTGGACTAGGACCTGAGTTCAAACCCTGCCTCAGACACTTAGCTGTGTGATTCTGGGTAAATCACTTAACCTTTCAGCCTCAACTTCTTTACCTGCAAAATGGGGATAACAGCCCTTAACTCACAGACTGGTTCTGAGGATCAAATGAGTTCACACGAGTTGATAAAGCAATTTGCAAGCCATAAAACGTTACAGAAATGGCTATTATCATTATCATCATTATTATTATAAATGAAATCTTAAAGTTTAGAGTGGGATCTTAAGGTTAGAACTAGAAGAGACCTTAGCAGTCTGATGGGATGTTTTGGGTTTAGCACCAATTCGGCCCCCATCTTTTCTACATCTTCCTCACTTTTCCCCAGTCTCAGACAAGGAGAACTGAAATTCACTGACAGCCTTCAAAGTTCCTATTCACCAAGCAGTTGTGACCTGTCCCTTTGAACCTTCCATAGCACTTGGCTTGTTGGTCTCTTATGACGTTTAATATAGGATCATAGGTTCAGAGCTAGAAGGAACCTCTGAGATCCTGTAGTCCAATCCCCTCATTTTACAGATACCCCGGGAGATTAAAGTCCATCAAGAAGTGATTCGGTGACAGTCACACATAAAGTATCAGAGATAAAACCTGACTGATAAAACTTGGTCCTTCGACTCTCAATCTAGGGCTCTTTCTACTGTGTTCACAGTACTCAAAGCTCAAGAGTCCTTTTCTGACAGAGACAGGCTGTAGAGCATTATGTTGCTGAAGTAGACCTCAGAAGGCTTGAGGGACCCTCCTTTCTTCCAGTTTCTCTGGAAGAGAAACCCAACTTCCGCTTTGGCCCTACTGGTAAATACAAACATTTCCAAAAGAAGGGATGGAGGGTGGGGAGTAGGTGAAGAAGACAGAAACTTTAGGCATTTTGGTCACAGCCAAATGTGAGAATTTGTTTCACTTGACTGTGTATTTTTTTTTCAAGGGTTTTTCTTTTCTTTTTTTTTCCTGGAGGAAGAGGACTGGAGAAAAAAAGATTTTTTGTTAATCAAAAAATAAAATAAATAAAATGAAACTTGGTCATTCCAGACAAAACCAAAAGGACAATTAAAAGGCAGTAAAATAGTTCTTTATTATTTATTCTGATTGAATCATTGAAAATGTTTAACAATAAATAAAATATTGCTGAGATCTGACCTGTTCAGACTCCTCTCTCTTCATTCAAAATGTTTATCAACTGCTAATGCATAGCGACAGAGCAAATAAAAGATCATGACAAAGTTGAAACAAAACCAGAGGTGCAGCAAAGACTTTTTTTTTTTTTGTAAAAAGTACTTAAGAAACTTTGGCTTTGAGAGTGAATCCTGTCCAGAAGTGCTTAAGCAACTGTGTGAGGGGGGAACAATGCACAGCCAGGTGTTCAGTTCATGCTGGTTCAGGTGCTTCCTGGATTGGGCTGAGAAGCAAGAGAGAGTTTCTGGCCCATAGGCCACTTGTCCAGCACCATCCCACACCCATCAGTCTTGATTCCAAATGCTCCAACACTCAGCCTCCAGCTTGAGCAGTAGGGGTGGGTTTCAATTTATCAATAGGGACTTTTTTTTGCCTTTCTTTGCACCTTCAGCACTTAGCACAGTGCCTAGCACACAGTAGGCACTTAATAAATGCTGGCTGGGTGGGGCAAGTTTCCTTTTTTTCTTTCATACACAAACATGTGGGACTATCACTGACCAGAAGGTCCAAGCTCCTGGGGGTGGCTTCTGGAAGGGGAAGGTGTCCAACCTTTGTTAAGAGAAGAAAAATTACAACCTTCAGTACATTCAACATGTTCCATTCATTCTTCTAAATCACTCCATTCAGGACTAGAAGTGGGACAACTGGATAAATGAGATCATCAATCAGAGAGCTGGAAAGGACCTTAGAGATAATCTAGTCTAACCATCTCATTTTATGGGGAAGGAAACTGAATGCCAGAAATGATGGAACTCAATTAAGATCACACAGGATTTGAATACAAGTCCTCTGACTCCAAATCCAATGTCCCCTTCAACCCTTGAATATCAGAATACCCTCCTCTCCCCCTTTAAAAGCCAACAGTTTTATATTGCACAACAACAGGTCATAGCCAAGTTTCTAACTTCTGTCATCCTCTGAACAGCCTCTCAGAGGACAGAGACAATGAACCATCTCCTCTAAGCCACCCTTCTGGACATCACATGGCATCATAGGAGGTGATGCTGAATGGGATGGTGCTGTCAGTAACCTTGATCTTGGTCACCAGCTTATCACTGGAACCATAAGTTTTTAACACTTGAATCTGTTCTTTTTAGACTCCAAATACCATTAATTGGAATAAAAGTCCACTTACTTGAGATGGTATTGGCAACCTTGGTTATCTAATCCCTACCTAATGGAACCTCTGGCTTGTTTATATCAGTTTGTTAGGAGGGGTCCCCATCTAGCAGGGTCAAGGCTTACCACCTTGAAATGGTTTCCCTGATTGACAGAAAGGTATCAGGGAGTCTCTTCTCTTTAGGAAGGGGTCTGAGCCCTCTTTGCACCAGCTGGATTTTCAAATATAAGAAAATCTTCTTAATTAGGATGCCAGTGACCAGAAGGCTCAGTGAAGATATTGTGGGAGGTGGGTGGATGGGATGTACTCAGAATTTAGGAAAAACAAGCAAATTGGAGGAGTATAAAACACAATCAATCAGAAATTAATAGACTCCTAGGTTCTAGCCCTCTCTGTGATACTTAATAGCTGTGTGACCTTGAATGAATTAACTTACCTCTTGGAATTAAAAAAAAAAGTGGGGAGGAAGGGGTTGATTCCTTTGGCTCTATGCTTTGTTGCAGGATCTCCTCCAAGCACAAAACAAGCAGATTTCCAATGTTTAGTTTAGTCTTTTTTTTTTAAAGTATATCCTCCTTGCATCGGGACTTATTTAGCACAATTTTCTACCTCAATCAGGGAAGACATACTGAACACCATCTGTGTGCAGGGCATCGTGCTAAGTGTGCTCTAAGAAGAATCTCTACTTATGGTTGTGGATGTAACAGAGGGGTCATCACAGGGATGACCCACAGGTGTGATCCTTAATTTGGAGAAAAAGTTTCCCTGCATTTCACTTATAGACTACATAAAGACCTCCAGTGCTGGGCAGCTCACTGCCCTCACACCCCTCCAAGGGAACACACTCTAACAGGGCCTGGATGATCACTGGTCAGACATGTCCTAGAGGGGATTCATGCTTCAGGCACAGGCTGGACTGGATGGATTCTGAGGTCCCAGGATTCTGAAGACTTTTGGCTTCGAGATTCTGGGGTTTGCCACAATGGTTGAAACACATACTGTGCGACTTTCTAATTCACTGATATAATACTGCGCACGACAGCCATCTATCTTAGTACCCATTCCCCTTACTAAACCAAAACTTCATGAAGGTGGGAACTAAACTTTACTCTTCTAACAGTTAGTATAATATTGTCTCTGCACATAGAAGGAACGTGGCAAATGTTTATTGACTCTCAATTAACTAGAAGATTATCAAATACTCTCTGCCCCTGTAATACCCTGACACATTCCTGTTACCTAATATTTTACTCTATCTGGAGTCCTTCAGTAGAATGGAAGCTCCTTCAGGGAAGGGACTGCTTCATTTTTATACTTGTGACTCCCAGCATGGTGTCATGCACCGTGAATGCTAAAATGCTTCTTGGATTGACTGAACTGCAACTGAGCTCAACTGATGCAGGAGGCATGAAGTTTCATGGTAGGAATCAGAGCAATGGAATCTTACAGGGTAAGGTCTAACTCTAGGGTATCATGTCCCAACATAACATGTATGCATATGCCCAATTTGAAACAAAGCCCTAGTTAACCAAGAGGAATGCTGCCATGCAGACTGAAGAGCTTTGCCCAAACCGATCTGAGAGCACCGAACAACTCAGTCGGTGATTTCTCTGGATGAGCCCTTCCCAAACCCACAAATGCCCCAAGCACCATGGCTGCAAATCAAACCAGCAGTTCTGGAAGCGGCTGGAAGCCCAAGCATCCTGGCGAAGCTGCAGTGGGGATAATTAAAGCCCAAGATGGGACGGTGAGATGTACAGCATCAGTTCATTTTTCTAAGAATCAATAAATAATTGAGAAAGAACACAAATGGGGAAGGAAGAAGTGGCAGCAGAGAGGACAAGCACCACTCTTCCACACATCAATCACTGCCCCTGTCAGTCACATCTCCTCAGGTGGCACAGACCATGGCTGGCACCAGGTGCCAAATCCCCATTCAAACAACTGGATCCTGTGGTTGTATCCCAAAGACCACGACTATCTTGAAATTCTATACACTCCCTCAAAAGGCAGGAGTACCCCATGCCGGACAGTTTTTTTTAAAATATACTTTAAATGGTCAACACATTTTATAATCTAAGACTTATTTTCCTGTCTCTAATTTGGTAACTGGCTTTTGAGACGCATAAGATATTCAAAGTAGCCTTGGGCCCAGTGGCGGTGGAACTCAATTGTTCTCCTCACCACTCTCTTGCTCCCCCAGAGGAGCTTGGGTGCTTTAGTTTTGAGGAAATGGGGCAAACACTGCCACGGTGGGGGTTACATTTTCATGGTCTGAGTTCTCTCTTGACCCAAAGGGTTCAACATGGGGCTCTTTCCTCATTTTAGCAAAGAAACGCAGGCTGCTTTCCAAAATAGAAAGGCACATGGAATAATTAAATGTCCAGTCTGCTCCAAGTTGAGAAGGATTTCAACCAACACCTATTTTTCCAAAAACAACATTTGCTTTAACATTGACTTTCCAAAATAATACTTGCTTTAAAAAACAAACAGAGAGAACACAGTGGAAGAGCAACCTGGTCTACACTAGACTTATACATCTTTTCATTCTTTCCTATGCTGATGTAAGAAGCACTGATGATGGTTTTGATAAAAGCTTTGAAGCCAGAGGTCTTTTTTTTTTTCCCTTTGAGGGCCAGCGCATGAGTGGACAGAGAAGACCTTCTGATTTTACTGAGCAAGAAGCCAGACACCGGGCCTGCCCAGGAATACTTAAAAGAAACCAGCCTTTTCCCATGAATGCTGAAGCAGACCAATGAGGTAATCATTAAAATTTTAAGAAATTATCATAATAACGATGATTGTATTCTTTTTTCTCAATCCTGGTCCATCTGGAATCTTCCTACGAAGTCTCTTTCCTCCTTCATTGGAAAATCCTTGCTCTGTTTCAGGAAAGCAGGAATATTAAGGCCTCTGGTCACATGTTTCTAAACAAGGCCCGTGTTTCCTGCCAGAAGCACGTGTTGCCATCGGGTGTACCCATATGACTCCTGCTCGGCATCTGCCCACTTCTCCCCATTTCCCATCCACCCCATCCCAAGCACTGAGATTCTCCATCTGTTACTGACTCTCAAGGATTGTCTTGTAGTCCCAAAGGAAATAAAAGAAAGTGTGAAACAGATACAGTCTACTGGTCTAGCTGCCATTCACAGCCCCGATGCCCATCACATTCTTCCAGCTCACAGACCCCGAAGAAGGAGGCAGGAAGAAGCCAGGGGCTGAAATTACAGAGAGTGATCCACTGCAGGTTCTGGCCTGTCCTGGGGTCATCTCCCCTTGAAGATTCGTATTTTGTTAAGGGATGCTAGCGTGGTGGTCACGTTGGATTCAAAGTCACCATCATGAACGCCTGTTTTTCGGAAAGCTCCAGCGGAAGGGTTATTCTCCCAATAGTGATGCCAGTTGCCTTTACTGTCGGCCCCAAAGCCGTAGAGATCCACCTGACAGAACAGAAGAAAAAGATATGATTTAATGGAACATGCATTTATTAAGCTTCTCCTCTCTGTTAGGCACTGTGAAAGAAGATGGGGGAATACCAAGAAAAGAACAAACCAGCCCTTACCCTCATGGGGATTATATTCATTCTGGAGGCCAGAGGGGAAGAAACATGTACACACATAATTAAGTAGAAAATCTATACATAAATACAAAGCAATTTGAGGAGGGAAGGTCCAGATTATCCATTCCCCCCCTTTTCCAGAGGCACTATTCTTTGACTCTTCCTGGAAAAGATTCCTGGTTGGGGGCAGGGGGGAGTGGGTCGAGTTATGATTTATAAGTATGCTCTGAGTCATCACTGTGGCTTTGCAGCCAAACGGTAGAATTAGTTCTGAGAGGGCATTAAGAGAGGATACCATATTCAGAACAAAGGAGGTGAAGGTACATATTCCCTCTGACCCCAGGTACAAATACTGGATTCCATTCTGGGGGTCACATCTGAGGAGGCATAGTAACAAGCTGGCCTGCATCCAGTGGAGGGTAGACAGCACGGCCCCAGTGTCAGACCCTGGAGAAGTAATTTCTCTGTGCCTCACTCATCATCTGCATCTAAGAAATCAGAGCACTGGTCTCATCACCCTTCTCACTCCTTAACCTACGATCCTATGAATTAGGAATGATGGGTGGAAGTAGAAGAGAAGAACTTTGAAGTTCCCTATCACTACATATAATAAGTAGAGCTACTCAAAGACAGCATGGGTTCCTTCATGCTCTCAGTCACTGAAAAAGGTCAGGTGTAAGTTAGATGACCACTTGGTGGGGTAAGAATAGAGGACATTCCTGAATGGCTGAACTGAACAAATCCCAAGGTCCCTTTTGATTCAGATGTAGTGATTCTGTGGCCCTCCATGTTTTCAGATACTTTGCTAAAGGGCCAGAAATCGGGTGAGTTAAGAGAGGTGTAGGGCCTGGAGGTCCTCAGATTGGAAATAGATGGAGGACAAGGAGGGGTTGGAGATAAGGGTGGGGGTCTTGGTAAAGTCTGGATGGGAAACAGAGAGAACACAGTGGGAGCTATGGTTGGCTTTGGGGACTTTGGGGCAGAGGGGATGACATCAGCATCTCTCTAGTATTCCATAACTCCAGCTGGCAGATTTATCAGAATAAGAGTATCTCTTCCACTCCCCCTTCTTTTATTTGCTAGCTCTTCTGGCTGAGTAGCTCCCCTCAAAACAACCTATCCCAGCTCCTGAAAGTTAAACCAGGACTCTCACCATTCCTAAAGAGCTGCTTTTTAAAAAATTTAAAATGAAATGAAATTAAAATTTAACAAATTTAAAATTTAAAAAAAATTTAAAAAATGTAAAGCAACATTCAAGAACATTAATGAGATTCCTCTCCTTTCTTAAGTCATTAAGTCAACAAGTCAATAATCATCCAACGTTGACATTTTCCCTGGCCCTCCTCTCCACCTGGAGCTCTCTCCCTCCTCATCACTGCCTCCCAGCTTCAAGTCAGCTAAAGCCCAACCTTCTGCAAGAAGCCTTCCTCAGTCTTCCCTAGATTTACTGCCTTCTCTCTGGGAAGATCTCTAATCTGACCTGTATGGCTCTTGTCTGTACAGTTATTTCCATGTCACTACATGGGAGAAAAATATCATATTTTCTCTCCCATTTGACTGTGGGCTACTTGAGATTAGGAAGCATATTTTTTGGCCTTTCTTTGCATCCCCAGCAGAGTGCCAGACACACAGTGGACACTTACTAACTTTTTTTTAATTAAAAAAGAAAGAAAGAAAAGGAAGAGCAAATCTTCTACAGATTGAGAAGTAAAATGTTCTACCTCATCACAGATGTGCAGGGAAAGAATCACAGAGAGAATTCCAGTGGATGGGTACCTTCCATGGCTCTGGAGCCAGCTGTCAAAGACGTATTTAATGAATGCTGGGTGGTAGATCAGAATCTGGGTAAGAGAAGAATAGCACATTGGTCAGCAAAACAAGGCAATGTGGGAAGAAAGTCTTAGATGGGGCCTGGGTTCTAACCCTAGCCTCATATGCTGGCTACCAAGCTGTGGAATCATTTGCTCTGGGTCTCGGTTTCTGTAATTCTAGCATGAGAGAATAAGGCTAGATGTTCTCTCTGAGTCCCTTTCCACTGCTAACCTACTGTTAATGTTAATTTTAAAAAAAAATACTTATTTATTTTTAAAATTCATTTAAAAAAATTTTGAGTTCTAAATTTTCTCTCTCCTTCCCACCCCTTCTTCACTCATTGAAAAGGCAGGCAATGTGATATTAATTATACATGTGAAATCATGCGTAATATATTTCCATATGAGCCATGTTGCCAAAAAAAAAAAGCAAGAAAAATAAAGTGAAAAAATTATGCTTCAATCTGCATGCAGAATTTATCAGTTCTCTCTCTGGAGGAGGGTTAGCTCTCTTCTTCTATATTCTAGCTTGTCCAGGTTTGAGACTTTGTTTTCTAAGGTCTGAGGAGAGAAGTAGCATGGTTTAGAACAATGGCATCAAATGCAAAAAGAAACAGGGCCCCCAACACAAATATAAGGAGCCCTGTGGGCCACATGTCAGTTTTAAAACGTCATGTTATCTATGCTTCATGGTATTTTTATTTAATTTGTTAAATATTCCCCAACTACATTTGAATCTGGTTTGGACCGAACTTGGAATGTTGTGGGCCACACGGAGCCCACACTTGATAACTTCTTTGTTGTTGTTCAGTCGTTTCAGTCACGTCTGACTGTTCGTGACCCCATCTGGTGTTTTCTTGGCAGATACTGGGAGGGGTTTGCCATCTCCTTCTCCAGTTCATTTTGCAGAAGAGGAAACTGGGGCAAACATGGTTAAGTGACTTGCCCAGGGTCACACGGCTAGTAAGTGTCTGAGTCTTCCTGAGTCCAGGCCTGGTGCTCTATCCACTAAACCACCTAGCTGCCCTATGATAACCTCTTGGTGTAAAGAAGGATGGGTTTGCAGTCAAGAAAGGCTTGGGTTCAAATTCTAGTTCCTGATACTGCATTCAAATCCTTTCTTGGGATGCCTCACACATTCCACAGAACAGACACTAATATAAACTGTTACACAATTGGTCATAAATACATTTCTAGCATTTTGTTTGCGCTTTTTTTTTCTTGCCTATGCACAAAAAGGATTGTCTAAAACACATCTTGTAGCAGCAAGGTGCTATCACCACTGCGCTTGGCTGAGCTCACAACTTTATGTGATTATGGGCAGTTGCCCTAGCCTCTCAGCTTCAGTTTCTTCATCTGTAGAGTGGGAATGACAAGAAGACCTGCAACACCTCCCTCACAAGGCACTTTTGGGGATCAGATGAGACTCTCCAAATACTCCATACATGTCAGCTGTCCTGAGATCCTTTCCAGTTCTAGTATTGCAAGATTCAATGTCACACACACACACACACACACACACACACACAGAGCTCGGGTTCGACTTGAGAATCCCTTAGCTGGACTGATAGTGGTACTGGTCTGATCCTCCAGGTGCTAGACAGAAGGAGGCACAGAAATTACAGATGGGACTTCTCTGCCCCCCTCCCCATTTCTCTTTAAAAATCCTGACTAACTGGTAGATTTCAGATTCCCTCACTGCTTTGAGATCTCCTGCTGAGTGTGTAATTATAGTGACAGGGAAGTGCTCAGAAAACCCACAGGACTCTCTCCTCAGGGGACCTGGAGGTTAATTGGTGAGATTTCTGTGTCCTGTATCACTCCTGGTAAGATAAGTGACTGAACTACAAGGAGGGCTCAGATTGGGGGTGGGGGGGGGTCCTGGAAGGGCACCAGTATATGCTGTGCCTCTTTCTCAGAGTGCCAGTCAACTCCTCCTTGGGATGGAGGGAGGAGTATTTCAAGTGGTTAGTGCTCATTTTTCTGCTACAGAAGACAGGCATCTTGGTTTAGTAGGCATAACAGTGAACAAGGAATCCAAGTTCTAGTACTGGATTTAACTAGGCTGGCTAGGTGACCCTAGACAAGTCACCTGCCCACTATTAGACTCAGTTTCTTGCTTTGTAAAATGAAAGAGTTGAATCTGATGATTTCCAAGATGCTTGTGAATATTATGGGTCCTGGGGTAAGCCTGGATACAGGTCTCCTTACTCCCAACCCTGCCCACTACCCACTAGAAAGTCTGTCAGTACTGACAGAAGCCTTGTAGTTAGCCGTTAAATACTGAACTTAGATATTGAGGAGGGAAGGGAGAGATATAAAAGAATAGAAGAGGTGTTCCCTGGCCTCAAGGGGTTTGCAAACTAAAATTTGGCATTTGTTGGCCCAGGTTACAAATAACTAGTCGGGAAGGCTGAATAAGGCCTACTTTCCAGATAACCTATTAACCTGTTGCTCTTTGCGAGGGGGGTTGGGGGGCAGGGAAGTTATAGGCACTGATCCTGGCATTCTCCTAATCACCTGCCTGTCTCTCAGCATAAAAGTAAATTACAGTTTACAGATGTCAAACTTGGAAGACAAGAAATGTCCCTAACATCTCACAGCCTACAGGACCATAGATTTAGGGCTAGAAGGGACTTCAGAGGTCATTGAGTACAACCTCATTTCATAGATGAGGAAAGGGAGGCACAGTCAGGTTCAATAACTTGCAAAGAGTCACACAGCCAGAATGTATCCGAGGCTGAATTCAAACCCAGGTCTTCCCCACTCCAAGTCTAGACCTTGTCCACATAGGACAATTTAGTTCCATGCTGGTGAGCTGAAGGAGAGGAGAGAAGGTATGGCAATGTTTTTGGTGTGATGAGAAGGGAGTTTGATGAAAGTAGTAGGCTTGTTATCAGAAGACCTGGCCTTGAGACCAAGCCACATCGCTCATGGAATATGTGACCATGGGTAAGGCACATGTCCTCTCTGAGATACAGATTCCTCACCTGTAAAATGGCTATAATATTTGGCTTCGTTCCTTATGGGGTTGTCATGTGGATCAAATAAGGCATTGGATGTGACAGTCCCTTGTGACTGGCAAGTGCTATTTTTAGGAATATCACCATTTCTCTGACTCACCTTTTCTTTCTTCACATGTATTTTTCGGGGGACAGGGACATATGTGCTGGGAAGGAAAGACAAAGAAAAGATAATATTATTAATAATAATAACACTTATAGAGCACCTTAAAGCTTGCCAAGCATTTTACATATGCATTTGATCCTCACAACAACGCTGTGAGGCAGGTATTATTATGTTGCTCAGGTGTATACACAGCTATTGAAGGTCTCACTGATCTCATCCCCGACACTCTATTCACAGAGGCACCTGGATGTCTCACCAGAAACACAGGGCAGCTCTGCCCAAATAATTCTGAATAAGTGGCTACACTGATCTGGGCAAGTAAAGAACAGAAGAAATAATCAGCAGCCAGCAGCATCAGTAGAGAGGAAAGAATGCAGACCTGGGCTTGGGTTTTAATTCTGCTTTTGAAGGTATGACCTTTGGCAAGTGACTTGGTCTTTGTGTCTCTTTGTTTCCTCAACTGCAAAATGAGGTGGGAGCATAGATCAGATGACCTCTGAGGTCCCTTCCAGCCAGAGATCTACAGTCCTGAAATTTATAACCCTTTGGGTAGTCACATAACCAGAGCCTGCCACATTATGGACACCAGGGGGCACTGATGACTAGTTCTTGAGTACCCTTTTTAAAAAATTTATTTTTTTTTTTTGAATAGGAGCATAGATTTAGAGTTGGAATCATTCAGTAACTACTTCATTTTAAGGCAAGTTTCCAAGACACAATTCTCTCATCTGAAAAATGGGAATAACAATACAATTTTATTTCATAGGGCTATTGTGAGGAAAGAACTCTAAATTTTAAAAGACTGCAGAAATAAGAGGCATTATTATTACTGTTAATAATAATAATAACAACAATTATTTTTCTGTACACATTTACAGCAATGGTCTCTTTCAAAAAAAAACAGAAGCATAGAGGTAGAGGTAGAATCAATCAATCACTATTGTTTTTATTCAGTCACTTCAGTCACGTATGACTTTTTGTGATCCCATTTGGGGTTTTCTTGGCAAAGATACTGGAGGGTTTTGCTATTTCCTTCTTCAGCTCATTTTACAGATGAAGAACTAAGGTAAACCGGGTGAAATGACTACACAGCTAGTAAGTTTCTGGGGCCAGATTTGAACTTTAAGATAAGTCTTCCTGACTTCAGGCCTGGAGTGCTATCCACGGTGCGCTGCCCTAATGAATCAGTAAATACATCATTTTACAGATGAGGCAACGGAGACCCTGAAAAAGTAAGTGATTTGCCCAAGGTCACACAGACTGTAAATGGGCCAAAACTTGAGCCCAGATTAGATTAGAGCCAGGAGGGTACTTAGGAGTTCATTTAATCCAATATCATTTTGCAGGTGAGGAAAACGAGACTCAGAATGGGAAAATGACTTGCCTTAAGTCATACATGCACAGACAGAGGGTTTGAACCTAGGTCCTCCGACTCGAATCCTGTGCTCTTTCCCCTCCACCCAAGTATAGCTAAGATCACTACAGATGGAAGATGTACTCTAATCCTTTCATCTTACAGATGGGGAAACCGAGATATTCTTCCCCTTGGCCTCACACATCTGTACTACAACTCCAACAAATAAAAATTAGAACAAAATTAGCTCACTGCCCACATGGAGGGGGGAGATTTCTCATCCCTTGAATCGTCAAATGTCAGAGTTTAAAGAGACTTTAGTGATCATGGAGGGGCAGCTAATATTAGTGGGACAAATAAAGGAACTGGAGGCCAATGACCTATGCCTCACAGCCAGCTTCATTTGTTATTAGCAATGGTTGACCCTAGGCAAGTCTCTGAAACTCAGCTCCCTCTTCTGTAAAATGGGAATAATAATAATTGTCTTACTTCACAGGGTCACTGTGAGGACAGAGCCCTGTAAATTTCAAAGGCCTGCATAAATGGGAGATAGGAGTAGTAGTAGTAGTAGTAGTAGTAGTAGTAGTAGTAGTAGTAGTAGTAGTAGTAGAAGAAGCAGCAGCAGTAGGAGGAGGAGGAGGAGTAGCAGAAGTAGTAGTTTTGTTTCTGCATAGATTTACAGCACTGAGAAATGAGAGGTGGCATCAGAGAGGAGAGGTAGTTTGTTACCCTGCTTCTGCCACCCTTGATCTCAACTCTGATCATGGATTTTATGGGGCACAGGGGAAGTGGGGAGTAGAAATGATGGCATTTTGTACTGCTACTAATGCATCACAGAACCACTCATTCCAGAATATTGTGGAAAGTACTAGAACAGACCTGCTGAAACCAATCATTCCTAATTCTTGGTTTTTTAAAAAAATTGAATCTTGTACAAAAATAATTAAATTAAAGTTAAATAAATTAAATTTAAAATTCATTAAAATTAAATTAAAACTAGTTAAGATTAATTGAATTATTATTATTGTGGTTAATAATAATAATAATGATAAATTTCGAATACAAGCCTGTAACTGCACAGATGAGGAAGCCAGCAGTAAAAAAACAGGAATGAGAACCTTGGTGTCAGCTCTGCGCTCTTACAAGGACATCACACAGATCCCCTTTCTGTGCTGCCTTACCATAACTTTGCAAAGCTTCCTGCTATCTAGAGAAGCATGAGACTATGAGCTATAATAGACCACTGAAGAGAGGAAGGGTGGGGTGCAGAAGGGGATGTGGGAGCCCCAGAGACAAACTACCAGCCGCAGAGCTCTTCTGAAGCTAACAGAACTGTGTCTTGGAACTTTAATTGCAGACAGCAGTTTTGCAACTTCCTTTCGCAAATACTGAGCATATGGACATCAAAAGGTAAGTGGATCCTGAAAGGTAAATTGCCTCTAATGCATCTCAGGGCTTTCTGGAAGCTGTAAAATAGAACTCAGCAGAGGATCACGGTGTCTTTCGGCTTCCTTGGCCATCAAGAGAGTGCAGCATTCGTCCCAGGGAGAACCTTGTTATGAGGGCAGCTTCAGCCTGGTGGTCCCCGAAGTTCAAGGCTGTGTCGTATGGTGGAAAGAATCATCTGGCACCTTGGCTTTTAAGACCAATGCTGCTGCTCACTCACTGTGTTTACCTTTCCTGTCTCTAGGCCTCCATTTAACTGGATGATAGTTGTAGAGCTGGAAGGGACCTCAGAGATCATCTTGTCAGACCTTCTCATTTTGTAGATGAGGAAATGGAAGCTCAGGGAGTTTAAAAGACTTGCTTAAGGTCCCACGTGGGGGAAGCATCCCAGGTGAGATTTGAACCCAGGTCCTCTGACTCCTGAGCCAGGGCTCTGTGCAAAGCACCATTGCTTTGCAATAAGAGGTTAGACTAGATGATCATGAAAATTCCCTCCCAGCTCCAGAATTCTGGGAGATTACCTCTATCTTTTCTTCTTAAATAAATATACGTATACGGTGTTGCAAGGTCTACAATTTTTTTCTTCACAATAACTCTATGAGGGAGATGGGCAAAATATTATCCCCAATTCACAGATAACAATAGCTAGCATTTATATAACACTGAAGTTTGCAAAGAGCTTTACCTTTACATCATCTGATTCTCACAACAACCCTGGATGACAGGTGCTATTGTTATCCCCATTTTACAGATGAGGAAACTGAAACAGAGAGAAGTTAAATGTCTTGCCTAGAGTTGCACAGCTGGTCAGTATCTAAGGCAGGATTTTAATTCAAGGCTTCCTGACTCTAGACCCAGCACCCTATCCACTACAGCATGCTGCCTCTCTAAATTGGGCCCTCTGAGAACAAGCAAACCAAATCAAATCCCTTTTTCCATATGATAGTACTTCACACACTTGAAGACTGCTATTATGCCTCTCCCTGCTAAACATCTTTGGTTCCTCAAACTATTTTTCTCTGCTGAATCATCCAGCTGTCACTAACAGGACAGTCAAAGAGAGCTGAAAGTGACATATGTTATGCAGTGAGCCAGCTTGTAAGTTGGAATTTGAATCTAAAACATCTGACTCCAAATCCTGTGTGTACTGGTACCAGGCTGTTGCCTCTCTCTACTTCCTTCAGCTCCCTCTGGGTTGACCCTGAGACAACTAACATCAAATAAAAGGCAGGGCCTTGTAAAGCCCATGGAGGGATGCCAGCCGGAGCTTGGAGGAGCCAGGCTGACGAGGTCCAGGGCTCAGGGTGAGGCCAGTGCTCGAGGAGGTCCCAACGACTGGACATCAAAACTGCATGGTGGGGTGGAGGGAGAGGGGAGTGAACACAAACTGTCACTGGGAATTATTTCTCTGATTTAATTTTGCTTCACACACTGAGTGACCCTGGACAAGTTGTTTCTCTCTGTACCTCACTTTCTTCATTGGTGAAACAAGGGGATCGGAATAAATGACCTTGAAGGGTTCCTCTAGCTTTAGCATTAGATTGTTCAGACCACTTGGCTTCAGCTCTGCCAGGATCAAGTACAGAATCCTTTGTTTGGTGCCAAAGCCTGTCACAGCCTGCCCCCTTCCTCCTGTTCCCTACCTTTCCAGTCTTTTAAAAAAAAATTTTATTAATTTATTTTGATTTATCAACAATCACTTCCACAAGCTTTTGAGTTTAAATTTTTTCTCCCCCTCCCTCCCCAAGATGGCACGCAATCTGCTACAGGCTTTACATGTACATTCCTATTAAACATATTTTCACATTAGTCATGTTGTAAGGAAGAATCAGAACCAATAAGAGGAACCACCAGAAAGAGGAAACAAAACAAAACAGAAGAAAAAAAAAGCAAATAATATGCTTCAATCTGCATTCAAACTCCATAGTTCTTTCTTTGGATGTGGATAGCATTTTGCAACATGAGACCTTTGGAGATTTCTTAGATTCTTGCATTGCTGAGAAGGCCTAAGTCTATCAAAGTTAGTCATTGCACAACGTGGCTGTTACTGTGTACAATGTTCTCCTGGTTCTGTTCACTTCACTCAGCATCAGTCCATACAAGTCTTTCCAGGTTTTTCTGGAGTCCGCCTGCTCATCATTTCTTATAGCACAACAGTATTCCGTCACATTCATATACCACAACTTGTTCAGCCATTCCCCATTTGACAGCAAGTAATTAATTAACCCATGTTTGCTGAATTGAATGAATTTGTATCGATAGAGCTAGGTAGGCACTGTAAGCTTTAACTCTGGAGGTCAGGGCCATGTCAATGGATGTAACCTGATGACAAGTAGAATCTCTGCTTCTGGTAGGGCTGTGATTCTTTTTATGGGTCTCATTCTTCAAACCAGATAGATCAGAGAAGGTATTTTCAATATTGGGGAATACTTGCTGTTTCCTTTGCCATTGTTGGGAAAAGTAAGAAAACTTAGAAATGCTGACTGTAGATCCTCCATGGTACAGAGAACATGGTGGGCTGGAAGAATTGCAAATACCCCTTCCTCTAGATTCAATTCAAATGCCACCTCCTCCATGAACTTTATTCCCCCCCTCTTCCACATCTTCAACCCCTGGCTTGGAAATGATTTTTTAAGTCTAAAGGTTTGTAGATCACTTGGTTTATAGCTCTCTTAGTATATCTTCTATAGCATGCTTAGTATTTGAAATGAAGAGAAGCAGCCTGGATAGAGACGTGGCCTTGAAACAAGAGGACCTGGGCTGAAGCCCCATATTTGTGTAATCTGGATCAGGTCCCTTAGACTCTTGATGGTCTAGAACAGTGGCAAGAAATTAAAATATAAATGGGGGACTGTTAATAAGGATCCCTGTGAGCAGTATACTGACTTCGTTTTAAAATGTTTCCCTGTATTTTTATTTTGGTAAATATTTCCCAATTACATTTTAATCTGGTTCAGACCACACTGGGGAGTGCGGTAGACTTTGGGGCCAGGGGTTTGCCACCTCTGGTCTAGCTATCTCTCTAAGATTTTAAGTTGCAGAGATGGTGGTGACCTGCATTGGCAGGGGAGTTTCTTCACTTGGGAGTTTCCTATATCAATGAAATCTCAGGTTCAGTCTCTATTCCTATTTGGAATCATAGGCTAGGAGGGACCTCAGAGGCTACCTTGTCTCACCCTGTCATTGTACAGATGAGAAAATAGAGGCCTAGAGATGTTAGAACTTGTTCAAGGTCACAGGTAGTAATTAAGGAGTGTCAGATTTAGAAATGATGTGAACTTCAGAGATCATTTGCCCAAGACCTCCACTTTATGGAATAACAAGAACTGGCGTTTATATAGCATTTTAAGGTTTGCAAAATTCATTACAGGTAATATCTCATTTTATCCTTACAACAAACCTGGGAGAAAGATGCTATTATTATCCTCATTTTACAATAGAGATAACTGAGGCAAAGGGTAAGTGACCTGCCCGGGATCACACAGCTAGCAAGTATCTGAGGTAGATTTGGAACTCAGGTCTTTCTGATTCCAGGCCCAGCACTCTATCCACTGTGCCACCTCAATTTATCAGCTCTCTTTGGGCAGGAAGAATAGTATGAAGGGGCTGGGAACTTGTGGGGGGAAGGTTCCAGAGCAAGAAGGCAAGGGCTAAAAGGGGGAGGGTAGAGCTTCCAAACCACAGATGAGGTGAAGTGACTTATTCTGGGTCACACAGTTAGTAATCTATGAAGCTGGAAACCAGATCTAGACCTCTTGATTCCAGATCTAGTATGCAGTAGGTGCCCAATAACTGCCTGTTGATTTACTGAAGAATTCCACATAGTTTTCTCAGCAGATGAAGTGCAGCCCCAGTGAGGTGTCATTAAGAACAACCTTGCCGTGTGACTTTGGATAAGTGACTCTCCAGGGCTCTGGGGCAGTTAACTTCTGCCTTTGACGAAGTCTGTCCAGTTAATAGGACTGAACCTAGATTATCCCAAGTCATAAGAACTACCTGGGACATCAAAAGGCAAGTGAGTCCTCAAAGCTGAATTGCCTCTAACACATTTCAGGCCTTTCTGGAAGGTTGTTTGGTGCTGGACCTTAATTTACTACTAAGTCCAACTTTCCCTGTTGTGTTTGTCCTGGGGATTTGGAGGGTCATTTTCTCAGAGGGGGAAGAACTGGTTCCCATAAATGGCTTGGTTACCAAGAATACTCTCTGGTTTTGGCTGTATACCAATTCCTGTAATTAGCCCCTTTCCCATAATGGCAGGCCACACAAATGAAAGGACTTCCTCTCTTTTATTTCAAGACTCCCAAACCCCAAGATAGGAATTCACCTTTGAGCTTTTCATTGCCTTAGCTATCCTCTCAAACCCTTCTCTTCTGGATCGCACATTCTACATTCTTTGCTCCAACCTTCTATATTTTTCAGTACAAAGGCCCATGCTTTTATTAAGAAGATTATGACTTAGTGCCTCCAGTTAACTCACAAGTTGATGGTGCTTCCCATTGTAAGTCCCAGATTCCCTTGTGATATAACTCATTTGTTCTCCTTTCTGGGAAACAGGAAAAGCCAATAAGACTTAGCAACGTTCAGCTCCCATATCAATAAAGTTAGAAGGTTGGACTTGCCTATTTGATATTCTATAGTCTATGTTCCTTTATTCAACATGAATTTATTTAGTACCTACTGTGTGCCAATCACTGTGTGTGGTGCTAGGCTCTGCCTTCAAGAAGTGACAATTCCAGGTGTCCCTTCTCAAAGCCCTAACGTTCCATGTTCTAATGGTCCTTTCCCCCTCTAACATTTAATGTTCAAGGGAACTTTCCACCCCTGCATCCTACATTCTGAGATCTCTTCCAGACCCAACATTCTATATTCTTTGCTCCAACCTTCTATATTTGAAGGAGCCTCTCAGTCCTAAAGGCCCACAGCACATGCTCTGATTGAGGAGATTATGCCCCGCTGCCTCAAGCTGACTTACAAGTTGATGGTGCCTTTGGTCATAGCGCTGATCACCCATTGCAAGTCCATGGTCTTGAAGGGAATCAGGATCATGCTGACGTTTTCTGCCAGCTCCCGGAAGCTCTCAGGGTATACCAAGTGGTGAGTGGTCTTCCTCCCAACATCAGCTTCAAAGCCTGCTGTGGGAGCCCGATTCATCCTGAAAATGGAAAGGGCAGATAGGGAGGGAACAGAGGAGGTAACAAACTGTCAGCAGGCATTATTTCTCAGATTTTGTTTTGCTTCATGCACTGGGTTACTTTAGGTAAGTCACTTCTCTCGGGGCTTCCGTTTTTTCGTCTGTCCAATGAGTGAGCTTAAGGGCTCTTCCAACTGTAACATTCTGTGATCTGAGGAGGGATTTTTTCACTTAACAACTTTTAACTCAGTCTCAGCAACAGTTTGGCAAGTCACAAAGGAGGTTGGTGAGTGGAATACGAGTCTCTGGATGGTGATCTGACCTGACCTAAAGTGGCAATCGGTTCTGAAGGTACAAAAACACAGGGCTGAAAAGAGATTAGAGGTTCAGGGGGACAGGGGAGAATGTGGCTTCAGGGACTGCTTAGGACCCCATCGAAAGCTCTTTGCTGACCTGAACCATTGCATCTTAAATATATTGTGTCATCTAGGATGCTAGAACATCTTGGTTTTAAAAGTAATAATGATACTGTCAATCAATCAATCAATACACATTTAATAAGGGCCTACTATGTGCCAGGCACTGTGCTAGATGCTTGGGATACAAAAGAGGCAAAAAACAGTTCCTGCTCTTAAGGAGCTTATAACCCAATGCGGGCAACAACATGCAAAGAACTATGTATAAACAATGCTAACCAGATAAGCTGGACATAATTAATAAAGGGAAGCCACTAGAATGAGGGCTGAGAAACGCTATATTAACAACAATTTACATCTCTATAGCCTGACAGTTTAGAAAGTACTTTAAGTAGAGTATCTGATTTGATTCTCACAACACCCACATGAGATGGTGCAACTATTATTGTCTTCATTTTTCAGATGAGGAAACTGAGGCTCAGAAAGTTTAAGTGACTTACTTGGAGTCACACAGATAGGAAAAGGAAGAGTTGGAACTTCATTTTAAGTCTTCTGACTTCCATTATATTGGGGTTTCCCCTTCTCCCCCATTATACTATGCTTTCTATAGGCAGGAGTGCTATTATCATGAGATCCTTTTCAAAACCTAGTAACTGAAACCCCTTGGATGGGGTCCAAGATGAATCAGCCTTATACAAATTACAGCATGTAGTGAACAGTGTTACAAAAGCAAGGCTATAGAATGTATTTTAGTAATAACACTCTACATTTCTGAAACTGTATTGGCTTAATTCCCTTGGATGTCATGTAACACTTCATATGACCTTCTAATGTCCTTACCATGTAATATTATAGAATAGAAGCTACATTAGAATTAAGGTCCTTGAAGACAAGGAATATTCTCATAGCAGGCCTGGTGTATAATAAATGAATGAACGAATATAATAAACTGTATTGGGGTCTTATAACCCTAGCTACCAACTAGAATGTAAAGTCTCTGTGGCTACAGAATATTTCTTACTGAAACTTTGTGTCTTCCTCTGCCTGTTAGATAAATGTCTGATACTATCATCTGTGCAGCACTTTTAAGTTTTTCAAAGATCTTAGATTGCTGAACCTGGTGTCAGAAAGACCGAAGTTCAAATCCAGCCCCAGATACTTACTAGTGTGACCCTGGGCAAATGGCTTCATTCCTTTCAGCCTCAGTTTCTTCATCTGTAAAATGGGGATAATAGCACCTCACTCACAGTTGCTGTTAGGGTCTGACGAGGTAATATACATAATTTTTTCAAAGCTTAAAGTACAATATAAATAAGTTGTTGCTCTCACAATTAATATTATTATCATTTGATGCTCCCAATAATCCCTATGAAGTAGATATGCTAACATTTGGTAGATGAAAGAATTGAAGTGTGGATAGTTAAAATGATTTGCTTAAGATAATACAGCTCATCAGAGACCAAACATGCACTAGAATCTGATTCTCCTGATTTCCATCCCAGTGACCTTCTTACAACCACCTGCAGCTACCTCTCTTAGGGATGGCCAGAAGGCAATGCTACCTAGTGGAGAGCATCTTGGGAGCCGGGGGACTATTGGTGGCCAGGAGGGCCCCTTCACTCACCGCAGCACAAAGTCATGGTTGTCAATGTCTCTCCCATACTGGGACTGCTTCAGGTTTCCTGAGTTGCCCACGACAGCACAACGCCTGCAGACCAGAGGCCCTTTCTCCAGGAATGGGTCAACATCACTAGGAACAATGCGGAACAGCTCCCTGAAGGTGTCATTTAGTCTCCTGGGCAGCCTCTCCCTCTGGAGTTTCTGTGAGCAGAGGGTCAGAGGAGACACACATTCAGCAAAAATGCCACAGGCATCCTCAGCAAGAAAGCTCCTCTGCTGCTGGCTGTCATGATGACCAAGTGGGGTTGGGGGAGAAGGTAGAGATGTATCTTTGTTGAGTGGCTCATTTGGGAACTGTAACCCTACATCTGAATTCCACAGCAGGCCCCTGCTATACCATCATGTGAGAAATAACTGAATAAAACTGCTACATACAACAGGAGACCCAGGTGAGAGAAGAGTGACTTCACCTTGTCAGCTATAACCTTTTTAGGTACAGGTTAGACTTGATGGCCTCTGATATCCGGAGACTCCCTCCACTCTGTGTCTGCTGCTCTGCCTGGCTTCAATTTCACGGTCTAAGATGATCTTCCCAGGATGAACTCATCACTTCGTATCTCCCCTGACACCACTTCCCTCTGCCTCCTTTCCCCTCTGACTGGAGGGTGGAATACCCAACTGCTTCTAATGCTTTCTTTATAGAGAGTGGGAATTTGGCTCTCAGCCCCTCCACTTTGTATCTGCTGCCATGCCTGGGTTCAACTCCATGGAAAAGATGCCCCTGGCCAGACAGTGCCTGGTCTCTACCTCCTCCCCTGTGGCTTCACCCCCTTCCCCCTTCCCCTTCCCCCCCCCCCCCCCCGCCCCACCCTGGCCAGCTTTCCTGTTGTGTGTTCTCTCCTTCCATTAGACTGTAAGCTCCTGAGGGCAGGGACTATTTTTCTTTTTATTAATTGTATCCCCAGAACTTGGCACAGTGGTACATAGCAGGTGCTTAACAAATGCTTACTAAATTGGATTGGACTGAGAGTCAGTCAATCAACAAACATTTAAGTACCATGAACTGTGTGAAGCTCGAGGAATACAAAGAAGAATAAAAAAAATAGCCCCTGCCCTCAGGAAACATATTATATTAAGGTAGATCACAAATATACAAATTGATACATACAAGATAACTACAGAAGACATGGAAGCAGCCTTAGAGCAGTGTGACTGTGACTGTGACTGTGACTGTGACTGAGGGAAGCCAGAAAAAGCCTCCTTCAGGAATTGGAGCTTAAAGGAGGTCAGGGATTCTGAGGCAGATTAGGAGAGAGAGCATTCCTGGCATGGAGAACTGGCAGTGCCAAGATGGGATAGAATTTGAACCACTGTGTGTGAGGAACAGCAAGGAGGCCAGAGTATGTGGAGAGCAGCAATGTTTTTAAGGACTGCAAAAATACAAAGGGCCAGGCTGTGAAGAGCTTCAGGTACTGAAGAGAGTGGTTTACATTTGGTCCTAGAGGTAAGAGGGAGTTACCAGGGAGGCAAATTTCAGCTCATCAAAAAGGGTCGCTACCTAACAATTAGAGATACCCCCTGAAATAGAATCATCTGCTTTGTGAGGTCGTAAGCTATAATTAAGGGGAAATTTTCAGCTGCAAATTCTGAGTCAGCAAAAGCATTTCACCCTTCCTAGATCCTGTGATTTCACTGAAGTGGGTACTCCTTCCACAGAAAAAAATCACAGCCCCTCCCAAACTTGGTAGACCATTTTTGAGAGATGTTGAGTCAGCAAGAACGGCTTTTAAAAAAGTCAATTCATATCACTTGTATTGCACCTATGGGGTTTCCTAACTGTATCTAGTTCTATGAAAGGCACCACAGAAGTAAAAAAAACAAACAAACAAACAAACAAACAAAAAACATGGTTCCTACTCAAGTGGAATAGGGCTGCCTTAGTGGGAGAAATTAAAAATCTCTATAGTCCGGTAATGGAATGATCACTCGATCAGCAGGAGACCAGGGTTCTTGGTCTTGGCCCTGCTAATAACTTGATGGGTGAAAATGGGCATATCATTTCTCCACAATGGACCTCAGTTTCCCCATCTGTAAAATGAGGAGGCTGGACTAAATGATCTCTAAGGTCTCTTCCAGACTTAATCGGATGACTATATTTCTATGATTTTCAAATACATGGGACACCAGCATCTTTGGAGTCCCCATATCCATAGGCATCACTGACCTGAAGGGAGGACATAGACACCTTCTTTAAAACTAAAGGAGAAACTCAAAACTTAAAAACAAATGTTAAAACAACAAAAAAAGTTTTAACATGTAACTGGGGAAAAAATAAAATATATTAAACTAAAAGGAGACCTTTCACAGTCCCCCCAGATGCTAGCTGGAGCCTTCCCCTTCCCCTTCCCCTTCCATCTACTCTATATTTACCCTTGATATACCCAGAGGTGTTTTCATGTTTGTGTCCTTCATTAGAATGTGAACTCTTGACTGTCATAACAATGTAAACAAAAAGGACAACAGATGTTGCAAAATTACAAAGAACAAAGTTGACCCCAAAAAAGAGATATGTGAGGATACTTCCCTTGACTCAGCTGCACAGGGGTGCTTTGGTGCTGGGGGAGAATGGATGTGGCACATTTCATACGGTGCAAGGTTTGTTTTGGGCTCTTTTTTTTTTTTGATGCATTGATAAGTTTGCTGATTTTACTTCTTTTTCTCCTTTTATCTCCCTTAAAATTTTCTTTGTTCTACGAGATGACTCTCTGGGAAGTGGGAGGGATAAAAGGGGGAAGTTTAGGCAATGTAAAAAAACAAGTGCTATCAATAAGAATTAAAAAACAAAAAATTTCTTGGAGAGAGAGACTGATTTTGCCTTTCTTTGCATCTCCAGGGCGTAGCACAGTGCCTGGCATATAGGAACACTTGCGGACTGACTGACTCATTGGTATACTATGGCAGCCATATCATAGGCAGGTTCTGGACATGAAAGCTCAAAAGAAGACTTGGGACGTTTTTCAATTCTTTCTAGGCCATCAGAGGCTGAAGGTCACACACAAGTGTTTCCTATATCAGCCAACGAGCAAGCCTTTCTGGTGGAGCCAAGGAAAAAACAAAATTTGCAACAAGCAGAACAGATCAGGAGGGGAGTGGGCTGTCTTAGGACCCCCCCTCACTGCAGACTTTTAAGTGACTTTTAGTGATGCTCCAGAAGGGACTGTTGTTTAGGCTGGCCTAGACGAATTCTGAGGACCTTCCCAGTTCCGAGGTTCTATGGTCCTGTGCTTCTGGGAGGGTGTGGTTCTCCTCACAGGTTAGAGTTTGCTCCAAAGCAGCCCAGTTTTCCTTGGTAACGGTAATAACATTTTCCTTTGAGGATGTATCTGCCCTCAGTCGGACTGGATGCACCTGTCGGGAGGGTAATCTCTTCTAACATGTTTCCTTTGGTGGAGGAGGGGAATGGGGGAGGGGTCTGGCTGAGTCACTGAGAGCCCAGTGACCACAAGGATTCAGGGATCTAATCCCCCACCTGAGTGTTGGCTGTTGTGTGAAACCAGGCTATCTGATGCAAAACAAACCCCAATCCTAGCTTCTTCCCAGAGACTATAAAGTCTTCTCGTAGCAACCCCCAAAGCAAACAATCTCTCCTATCCTTCATTTCATACTAGAAGGTTGTGTCACCCAGGGGGAGGCTGTGTAATTACTGCTAACAAGAGACAGAGGGCATCTGAAATTGGGGCTTTCTACTGGCCAGGATGACTCAGTTTCCAGGGAAGCCAACGGTCCACAAGGCTGAGACAGTCATGGGTTAGGGTGGGGAAGCCTCTTTATAGAGACTCATGCTATGAGGACAGGCTCCCACCCAGGTGAAACTTCCAGTGGGTGAGGGTGGGTACATGGCTCGTTATTAGTCAGTTTGATCATGGTGCTTTTCCTCTGAAATTACCATCCACCATTCATCTAGCTTGTAAACATGTACAGTTATTGGCATGTTGTTTCTCCCATTAGAAAATTAGACCTTTCTAAAACCAGTGGTTTTTGTTCTTGTATCCCCAGTGCCTAACACAGTGCCTGGCGCACGGTGATTGCTTAATACTTATTGACTGACTGAATGTCTACAGAAGCCCCTGTAGGGACTATTAGGGACTATGGGGTCAGGAAGACCTGAGTTCAAATCTAGCTTCAAACACTTACTAGCAGTGTGACCTCTATCTACCTTAGTTTCCTTAACTGTAAACTGGGGATAGAGCAGTTAGGTGGTGCACCGGATAAAGTGCTAGGCCTGGAATCACGAAGACTAATTTTCTTGAGTTCAAATCTGGCCTCAGACACTTACTAGCTGTGTGACCCTATACAAGTGATTTAACTTTTCCTCAGTTTCCTCATCTGTAAAATGAGCTGGAGAAGGAAATGCCAAGAAAACCCCAAATAGGGTCACAAAGAGTCAGACGTGACTGAAATAACTGAACGATAACAAAAATTGGGGTAATAATAGCACTGACCTCTCAGGGCTGTTGTGAGGACTAAGTGATTAAATTAAACATTAAATTAATATTTTAAAGCATCTTGCAAACTTTAAAGTAATCTAAAAGTTAGCTATTTTTTGTAATTATCAGCTCTCCCCTCCCCATGTCAGGTAATAGACTACCATAGTCATGGTAGAGGTAGAGAGCACTCTTGAATCAGTCAATGAGTCAACAGGCATTTAAATGCCTACTATCTATCAGGTGGGCAGCTAGGAGGTACAATGAATAGATTACTGGCTCTCAGGAGTCAGGGAGACCTGAGTTCAAATCAGGCCTCAGACATTTACTAGCTGTGTGACTCAGGGCAAGTCACTTAATCCTGTTTCCTCATCTGTAAAATGAGCTGGAGAAGGAAAAGGCAAATCACCCGTATCTTAACTAAGAAAACCCCATATGGGGTCAAGAGGAGTTGGACATAACTGAAAAATAGCTGAACCAAAAAAATACCAGGTAATGTACTAAGGGCTGGGGATATAAGGAAAGACAAAAGCATGATCTTTGTTTGGGGTAAACTATATGTACTGGGTACATACTGAGTGTAAGTGGAAGGTAATCTCAGAGGGAAGGTGCTAGAAGCTGGTAGGGCGGAAGAATGAGAAAGACCTCTTGAAGAAGGGGGGGAGATGGGAACCCTTTAGGTTGACACAGCACTCGGTAGGTTATAAAACACTTTCA